TTTTTTGTTTTTAAATCCAAGCTATTGTGACACCAGATGTAGTGGTGGCACTGACTGGGGAAATGGGCACAGTATGCACTGTAAGCCTGACACAGAAACTGGCAGCAGTGGCAGACAACTGACTGCTATTCAATCTATAACAGTGAAAAAAGTTTTTTGTTTTTAAATCCAAGCTATTGTGACACCAGATGTAATTGGTGGCACTGACTGGGGAAATGGGCACAGTATGCACTGTGAGCCTAACACAGAAGCTGGCAGCAGTGGCAGACAACTGACTACTATTCAATCTATAACAGTGAAAAAAGTTTTTTGTTTTTAAATCCAAGCTATTGTGACACCAGATGTAATTGGTGGCACTGACTGGGGAAATGGGCACTGTGAGCCTGACACAGAAGCTGGCAACAGTGGCAGACAACTAAGTGCATTTACATTAGATAGAAAAAAAAAATCCAAAAAAAGCATACCCTTATCCCTAACCTAGCTATACTTTTCCCTATCTTATGAACAGCAGCTACACTTTCCCTCCTCTTACTAAGCATGCAGCTTGAGAATGAATCTAAAATGGATGCTGTCCAGTAGGTGGGAAGGTCTGCTAGGGAGGCTGTGCTGCTAATTGGCTGGAATGTGTCTGCTGACTGTGAGGTACAGGGTCAAAGTTTACTCAATGATGACGAATAGGGGGCGGGTCGAACCGCGCATATGTTCGCCCGCCGTGGCGAACGCGAACATGCTATGTTCGCCAGGAACCGTTCGCCGGCAAACCGTTCGGTACATCACTAGTTTCAAGCTGTTTTTTGTGAGATCAGGCACATGTTATTTTATTACCAACTCAGCAGATAGATTGCATTATTCCAGGGAAACCCCCTCACTCTGTGGCAGGCGGGGGCATATCTACTAACATGTTACATCTAGTGACTGGGCAACCATTGCTGCCAGTCGCTATAAAAGGTGATAGCGCCTCTGAAATAAAAGGGGGAAAGGAAGCATGTTATTCAGAGTGCTCTGATTGGCTGACTTACTTACTAGCCAACCAATTAGAGTGATCTTACTGATATTGCACAGAGTGGGACATTTCCCCATGCTTTGCAATTGCTGACATAATGTGAGAAATCCTTTATAAGGGCTCTTATTATCCTTTATAAGGGCTCTTATTATCCTTTATAAGAGGAATGTTACAGATTTCTTTTTTTAATTGGTTTTCTTTTCTTCTTTTTCTCCTTTTTGCCAATTTGTTTTGTACGTATTTTGTGCACATCATTATCAACTGGAATATACAGATCATTTTCTGTTCCTTCTTAAATATCTATTATTGCATTTCACTGGGAACATTTGTGTTAACCAGGTACGGTCTCTAAGTTTATTTTTTCATAAACATTTAAAATGCTATGATATTTTGAAAAATATATTAATATCTTGATATTTTTGACATATTTCTTATATATTATATAGTTTTAATATTCTATTATTTTAAAAAAATCACCTTAATTATTAGCCTGCTAAAAAGTATCAAACTTCATTGCTAACGCTTAGCAGGTAGGTGGAAGAAATATTCCTAAAGTAGCATTTTCTTTGTAAGCATTTCTAACAGATTAAATACTAGTAGAATTTATTCTAAATTTGTACTGAAATTATAGTGCTCCTGTTTAGGAGTCTTTTTGTCTCTCTCTCTCTCTTTTTTTTTTTTTTACATAAACACAGATGGGATACCAGTGAAGACTATTAAACTATGCATGAATATTTTTGGCCAATTTAAACTCTATCCACATCCACAACATTTTTGTGTTTAGTGGTTCTATGAAAAGCATTCATCATTTTCGAGAATAGAGAATTTGAGTTGTTGTTTTTGTGACAGCGACATAACGCAGAGCAGCTTAATTGGTAGTATTGCTACATGTCTGTGTGTGCTACACACTGTGTGTGCCAGCAAAGCCCAATTACAGTGCTGCTTTCCTAGGGCTGGTATGTAATGCGTTTTAGTTTATAAGAGACCAGATTCTTGAAGCAGATGGTATGTCTCATAGTGAGAAGAGTCGATTCGTGGTCAGGGTAGCTATAAGCTTTCCATTTACTTTTGAAGTGAAACTCACTCAGCAATACATGATTTTGGTCAGAGTCTAGCTAACGCTAGATAGTTCGATAGGTGCCCCACAATCCAGTGCCGAACCTTACAATATGGCCGAATGTGAAATGGTCGAATTGGCCATAGACAATACAGAGATGGTCCTGAACAGTTAGAATGTGAGTGGCCAATGCTGCTTTTCAATCCAGCCCTTCGGCTTCAACTATAAGGTGCACTACGTTCAGGGTGACCATTATTTCCTTTCATAGAAATACAGTTGGCGCCATAGTTACTAGACTGACCTTCTAGTCCTTGGGCAGACCCCAACCCCTTGCCTTTGGGTGATATCAGTCATGTGATTCTCATCATTGGTTTGCCCCCTTTCACTACACCCACCAGAATCCAGCTTCAATAGACTCTGATATTGGAAGGATCAATATCAAAGGGTTTTTTATGCATGCCAATCCTGTTATGTTATAGATACTTAATAAGTGCCCATTTGGGAAGCTATACATTGGGGAGACAACACAAAAAGTGAACGTTCATTTCATTAAACATAAATCCGATACTAGAACAAAAGAAAAAACAAATAATTTGTGAGTTCCCCAACATTTTCATGATGTTTACCATGATATGAGACTATTCTAATTTCAAGAAATCAATCAAAATCCTGAATCGGACCTCAGGTATGGTCGGTGGGGATTTATATTTATGTAACTGCAAATGTAACATGTGATTGAACCGACCTCTCTCATGATAGTTCCCTGCGTGGAACTCAAGTACCGTTGGAATGTTCCGATTTTACCCTTGTTGTCATGCTCCTGAGTAGGTCAGAGAGGAGACGATTGCAAGGGTTATTGGTTAGAACTTTATTTGTCGTATTAGACATAACAAATTTACTGAAAATAAAGAATAAAGAGCAGTCTGACACAAACAGGATACTTTGTGAGAAAAAACAGGGTTTAGGCGATATGCTACAAACAAGATCTTTAGAAAGTAAATGAATAAAGTCTTTTGTATACAAGCAGGCTTGAAGTTATACCAAGTAGTTAAGGATTTCCAGGATACTTTGCAATGCAGCTAGTTATAGGCAAATATCTTTTAGGGTAAGACAATACAGGATCATGCAGAGTTGCAGAGGTTGAAACAGGTAGGAATATTCCAAAATAATATAACGCAGGTTGCTTATGAGAGAATGCAGTGATGCAGCAATTAAAGCAGTTAAGATTCTTCAATGAAGGCAATACGCCACAAATCAGGATTCTTGGAAGCTGATAAGGAAAGTCTTTTGGTAAGATGTAATTCCGGCAAGTTCAGGATGAAGTAATGCAGGTTAGTGCCTTTCAGTATGAGGAAATGCAGATGAGTACAGGATGAGGCACTGCAGGTAAGTTCTCTACAGAATGAAATCATGTAGATAAAATACAGGATATTACCAGGAACAGAGATTCTCTATCAGAGCATAGACGTCAATGTCAAGGCACTGTTGTGTGCTGGGAGTAGACTTATCAAGCCTCCTAATTAGTTAATCCAGGTGAGGTTATTAAGGTGAGTGAATAGATTAGTGGCTAGGGAGGCCACTAGAGGAGAAAATCATGAAGTTCACTTAAAGGGCCAGTAATAAACAAAAACAGTCTTACATGTCAGTTTTGAAACCTGACGCCTGTACTATGTGATGATTATTGTGATGTTGAATGTTCCCAATAAAAATTGTCAAATTAAAAAAAAAAATCCTGAATCAGCCTGTAGGCAGATAGAAATAACATGTTAGCACAGCACAAACGACATATGATTAAAAGGTAAATGATGATTAAAAACCACTAAGAATGAATGGAGAGTATGATTTATCACCGTTTTATGACTACCCATATATTGTTTTGGTTTTTGAACATTGCTGCATTTATTTTGGAAATCAGTATGGCTGGCTGAGTGTGGTGGCTCCACTGGTATTCAGTTGGGTTATCCTTCATTTGATTATTATTATCTTTTCAAATACTATAAATACTATTATATATATATATATATATATAAATAAAAGAAAGGCTGCCTCTGTACCAACCTTACTTTACATTGAACCAAACTGTTTTTTAGAAAAACAAAGATCGTAATGATATTTAATATTTTATGTCAGTATAGCGCTTAGAATGTCATAAAAAATGGAATTGTGTTTTTGCATGTATTGGGCCATTTGCACTTTTACTATGCAGATTTAATCCATTTTATTATTTTACTTGTAATATGTGTTTTATTCTACACTTCGCAGGATCTTTCTGTTGATTAATATAAAGTGTGAACATATAAAAGTCAAGGGCATATGGTAATCACTAAATAAATTGTGTTTTAAGTATGTTTCTTTAATTTAAATATTTGTAACTATGCCACTTATATGACATGAAAGACCCCCACCCCCAATCCTGTTATCAAATATTAAGTCACATGTTGTCTGGGCCCATTTTTATTAACTTCATTTTCACTAATACACCAGCTTGACAAAGACCTCTGAGCAGGTGGGAATGTGGACTTTACATCTTTGGAGTGCTTTTTACACCAAGTGAAGTGCTAGGTATTGTTTCTAATGACAGCAGAACCAGAATCCTATGTACCCCAACTAAATCATTAATAGTAGCTTATACTTCCCTGGGTATATTATTTAGTTGAACAATCATTGAAGTGGAATGAGGGTGGAAGCCACTCTGATTGTTTGTACGACAGACAGGGATTATTCCCAAAGCATTTTATTAGAGTAAGACAAGGAGGGCCTATGTTTGCCACTAATAGCGGCTTTCCATGTCTGTGTCAATGGAATTGAACTGGAAAGATAACGCAGAACCAGAACTCCACACATTTTGGAGGTATTGACGATTTGGTAACACAACACACCTGCCATCCCAATATTTGGGTTTATAAGTGGATAAGAGGATTTAAAGAGGATTTTTTTTAAACCCATCAAATTATAATGTTTTAAATTTACTTTGTAAATTCCGTGTAAGTTCCGTGTGGGTGCGGAGTCATATAACGCACTATGAAAGGAATACTGAAACGTACTCATACATCACTTTCTTAGCACTTTCTGGGAACATGCAATCAGCTGGAACTAGAACTGCTGTGGAGGTGAGTGGGTTGTATAACTATCTCTGTGATCCTCCAAATTCTAACAGCAATAACATTTAATGGGGTGAGGGAACAAAGAACAGTCATCTCACAACTAGTTTGCTTTAAAACATTTCAAAGATCTTTTTAACAATACAACCATCTGTGGAATGGGTTCTCGTTCTCAAACTGGAATTCATTTGTTTTGTTTTTTGTTTACTAATTGTTTCTTCATGTTAACAAAAACCCATTTTCCTACGGCTTGCCTTTTCTAAATATTTATAACGTTGGTGTTTAGTCTGTAAGTTGCATGACTTTTGTTTAGACCAACTTGCATTTGTTTTGTTAAGCATTTGTTTAATATTGTGAAATATGTATTATGGTTGTATGTACATCATATGTTCACCTCATTACAAAGCTAACTCCAGAATAACGACCAGCAGAGCCCACAGTCTCTCAGAGGATGACCAGGTCTTGTAGCTGGGTTAGAAAAGGATTCCTCCAACTAAATTCACTCAAAATGTATAGGAATATAACTTTATCAAAATTAGATTTCTGGTGTTATTATGGATAACAACCAAAGCAAAATATGTTGTACGTAAATTACGTGAAACATCTCCAAATTTGGACAATCATGATATATAAAGAAAAGGCATTAAACACTTATAGTGCAGAGTCTTACAAAATGTAATATAGACAAAAAAATTACTTGTGGTGAAACACACTCACAATTAAAAATGCACAAATCAAACCAAATTTGTGAAAATATGCATCTTTCATAAGACTCCAGACCCCAGGACCCAGTCTGTTAGTCCCTGTGGTGCTACTGAAAGGAATAATATCCAGTGGAATTCAACTGAGCTTAATACAGAGTGCACGCTATATCTCTCTCTGCTCACATATATTGGAGATTAAGAAAGCAAGCCTCTTACCTTCTGCTTAAAACCCAAAGACTCTCCTTGACGTACACCTTACAGCGGCCATTCTGGTAAATGGGTTTTTTTAATGTGTAGCCGACGATGTTACAGAATGAATTAATAACTCACCATGTTATTTGCTGAGTACATTGGGTTTGGATTCCTTAGGGAGCGGTAAGATTCATTCAGACGGTTATCCCTTAGAAACCCGACATTGTACCTCTAGGTGAATATCGTTATTAGCGTTGGGTGACTATTTATACCTAAACTTGCTAGATAGCAGTAAGATATTAATTTCACCTCTGTCTAAATATGCATCTCTAACATTACTTCTAGACTTGGCACAGATTGGCGAATTTTCCTGCCATTTGGTTCACAGATCAAGTGAAAAAAAAGTAACCAAAAGAGAGAAACACAGAAGGAGCAATAAAAAAAAACAAAAATCTGTATTTATATATTGTATAGTTCTTAAATATATAATATATAAATACAGACTTTTATACTGTTGATCTGTGTATAAAACCAACATTGTGTGACTGTCCCTTAGCTTAGCTTTTTTTCCAGTCATTTATCTATCTTTTTTCTAAGCCATTGGCAATTTAGAATCACAAGCCAAAATGTACATGTTTGGCAATGCCCAACTTGTTTGGTTCATGATTCCGGTACATTTCGGCTCATACGCTGTCCAAACTCAGACAAATTACAGTTTAGACCAAAACGAATCTCCAAGTCTAATTCTAGTTAAAATCTATTTAATAAACCTTTTATTGCAAAGACAAGACTCTCTCTTTCTTTCTGAACTGTTACAGGGTTATCCCCTAGATCAGGGCTAGGCAACCTTCGGCACTGCATATATTATGAACTACATCTCCTTTGATGCTTTGCTAGATTTATGAGCATTATGGGAGCTGTAGTCCACAACATCTAAAGTGCCGAAGGTTGAATACCCCTGCTCTAGATCTTTCAGGATGAAAAATTACAGATTCATCTTTTGAGTCCTCAGATTCCTCTGTGTGTTAGAATACACTGTGAAGGGCACGCATTCCTTGTTAAAAGCTGAAGAATTGAAGTTCACCTTACCGCATAGAAAAACAATACATTTTATATCCAAGCCATAAAACGTCTGTAAAAAAATCTCAAAATGTATTTCTTGTTAAACAAGGTCAACTTTGTATAAAAAGATATATGTATTTATATTTTTTTTTTCTGTAATAAATAGTTTTGTCATTGACCCTTTTTTTATACCCTATTCAGACCTGCAGTGAGAATGACATCAGATGTTTTCTGAAAACGAAGCAGCTTCAAGCACTTTTTATTACATTTAATTCCAAATCAACCAATGCTGAACAAGCTTAAATAACTATTTCTCCTCAGTATACATTAAGGAAGAACCAATGGCTATAGATATGCAAATGTTTGCTGCAATAATCTTGCAGATAAATTGTGATTGGATGACTCAAGACAAGGTGCTGCAGCAGCTAAAGAAAGTTAATATAAACAAAGCTCCAGGGCCTGACGGTATTCATCCACGAGTACTTAAGGAACTAAGTGTAGAAATATGCAAACCTCTGTTTTTAATCTTTCAAGATTATTTTCTTTCAGGAATTGTACCGGAGGATTAGAGGAAGGTAGATGTCATTCCTACATTCAAAAAGGGTTCAAAATCCTTGCCTGGAAATTATAGACCTTTGAGCTTAACTTCTGTGGCTGGAAAAGTATTTGAAAGCTTATTTAGGGATAATATTCAATAATTAATTGACAAAAAATGTGGTTATCAGCAAAGATCAGCATGGGTTTATGAAGCACAGGTCATGTCAAACTAACTTAATTGCATTCTACAAAGAAGTAAGTAGAAGTATAGATCAGGGTGTTGCAGTGGATGTGATCTACTTGGATTTTGCCAAGGCATTTGATACAGTTCCACACAATCGATTAGTGTTCAAATTCAAAGAAATTGGTCTAGATGAAAATTATTGTTCTTTGGTAGAACATTGGCTTAAAATTACAGTGCAGAGAGTTGTCATTAATGGTAAATTTCCAAGCTGGACAAATGTGGTAAGTGGTGTCCCTCAGGGTTTTGTTTTGGGACCCCTTATATTTAATGCAGATGTGGACGTGACGACGTACACATGCATGCCGCGTTAATGGGCTGAATTGAGGCTGCTTCCTAACTACATTTTTTTGTATTTTTTTTCTCCTCTCCCCTTCAGGCTAATCTCAGATCGATTACCCTCAGTACGCTTTTCCCACACAACACGTAGGACCTATATCTGAGTAATGTGTTTTATTACTCGAGATACTGTATGGCGAGGTTTTGCGCCATACATTATGTTTGTTTTAGGTTGATGCCATTGTTTTGGATCAACCCGTCTTATTTTGTGTAAATACTAATAAAGAAGGTTTTTTTTGTTTTTCACATATATATGGTAAAACTTGGAGAGAGAGAGTCCCAAAAACTGAAAAGAAACCATAAATTAAGTTGATCTCAATAAATGCCCAGAGGATTTATACACCATATAAAAGGTTTATAATTATAGGTTTTCTGATAAAAAAAAAAAATCAGGTACAGTGTTCTGTACAATGGCATGAGCACTTCCCTCTTTCTACTGCTAATACCTCTCCCTATACAACCAAGCATTCTGCTAGCATTTCCTGCTGCTCTGTTACATTGTCTGATATATATGTATCAGGTATATACATTATTGGGAGTTTTATTACTTTTCACACCGGAGAGTTTCTTACTACATTTAGACTAGCCTAAAATGCCTATGGAGTTTAGTATGATGTTAACATTCTGATGGCCCCGGTACTAGCAAGAAACTAGAGCAGTAAGAAGATCCCAAAATGGAATGTAGTTAAGGCCCAAGTGCTACATCAATGTAGAATGGAAATGGGTATAAATAGAAATAATTCCTACAGTTTGACAAAAATAAATAAATGGAAAAACAATATTTGCATAATTATGACCAGTTTCGTCCTCCCCATGCTTCACCTATGCATTCCACCCTCTCCTCTTGCATCCAATCTCCCTTCCTGCTTGTTAATGAGGTCATTCCTCATCTCTTCTTCCTGTATTTCCAACTTTTCTTGTTTACGATGAATTCTATTTATGTGCCCCATTGTACTGCGCTATGGAATACATTGACTAGAAGCCAAAATCTAAATAATCATCATTTATTTATATGGTACCAGCTTTTATTTTACCACTGGTTGACTGTACGACAAGGAGCATTAGCAAAAGTTAAGTGGAAGAAACAGACAGTAGGCTTTAATATTCCTTACTGAAAACTTGCAGTCAGAATAAGTAGCACATAATCTCTCCGCACGCACATTTGTGTCTAATATTATACCCCTCCCTCTTTTTTTGCAAAATGCTTTGCTTTTTAAAAAATTATAACTGCTGGATAAAATATAAATGCACATTCATATTAAAACCATAAACACTTATGAAACCAGGGGATTGGAAATGAAAGCATGAATGCTAATTTATCTCAGGATCCTAACATTTTATCCCATTAGTTGTGTTTTTACTGGTAAAATGAACTGTGATTGTTACAGTTTGATACCCCACATCAAACTATTTAATAATTCATCAATGCTGTGAACTAATTAAACAGCCAGAACGTCTGCTAAGCTTCATGCTAACTGCCCACCTAAGGTTCCTCGAATATTCCCTGCCTTAAAAGAAATACTTTTTAGTCTCCGTTTGGGAGCCTGAAGCATAATACCAAGAAATATTCTGATATTTCAAGTCTTCTAGGGAATTTACAAGTCAAGATTTGAATGGTGAATTGTAAATTCTCTCCTAGGTTTTAGCATGTGAAGCTTAATACCAAGCCCTTGATGGACTATACTTTGCTGTGTACACTGGATGAAACAGACAGATGCTTCACATTGTGTACACGTAATGTTATCATAATTAACATTGGATTATTGGGATTATTTAGAAGGCTTATAATAGTATCACAATGCTCCCCCTGGATCATTTACCATACTTTGCATTGTTTCTCAGTCTGGCTAGAATTCCATTATAATAAGTATAGAGTCAGTTTATCTGTTTATTTTTGATGGTTCTGACCGCTGGTTTCTCTATTTGAATTTTTACTTGAGTAGCTCTTGACTAAAAAAGATAAACAGCTATTATCATAAGGCTACTCTGTCACAGTGCACCATTTTAATATGAATAACCAATTGCAATTCTGTTCCATTTAATATTCATGTTGGGTATGTATGTCTATTGGGTAAATAGGTACAGATAGTCATTTGCTATGCTGTACCATGAGAAGTCTGGAATGTGGGTGTATAATGAGAGCATTGAGGTTTGAGGGTCTTCGTATGTGTTTTTATGAGCCAGAGTTTTAGCTCAAAGTTCTGACTGTCATAGTTCTAAAACCCAACACACAGCATATAACCCACCAGAGAGAAAAGTAGGCACATTTGTGTGGGTGGGCTTAATGGGTTTAATCTAAATATAGATAGAAACATTGAAAACATGTCAAAGTCAATGGGTGCCAGAAATCACTTATTCGTAAGACAAAGCTAGGTAAAGGAAACCAAAAAATACAGGATAGTCAGGGTAAGGCCATGTCAATTACCAAAATAGACAATAGATGAATTAAGCACACTCTTAGGACACCAAGAATTCACAACTGCTCAATCTGATTGATATCTAGGGAATTTGGGGGCCAAGGCACCAAAATGAACTCTTTGCCATGTTCCTTAAACCAGTCCTAAACAATTTTTGCAGTGTGGCAGGATGTATTATTCTGCAGAAACATACCACTGCTTTTAGAGAGAGCCATTGCCATGAAGGGTTCATATGTGGTCTACAACAATCTCCAGGTAGGGGGTATGTGTCAAAGTAAAGTCCACATACATGCCAAGACCCAAGGTTTCCCAGCAGAACATTGACCAGAACATTAAAGAAATGCATCCGCTGGCCTGCCTTCTACCCATAGTGCATCCTGCTGCCATCTTAACCCCAGGTAAACAAAGCAGAAGCACCCTGCCATGCATCGGATCTTAAAGAAAACGTGATTCATCATACCAGGCATCCTTCTTCCATTGCTTCCAGGTCCAGTTCTGATGCTCACATCCCCATTGAAGACTCTTCAGTGGTGGACAGGTGTAATCATGGACACTCTGACCGGTCTGCAGCTATAAAGCAAACTGCATATCACTGTGTGTTCTGACACCTTTCTATCATGGCCAACATTAGGTATTTCAGAAATTTGAGCCTCAGAAGCTCTTTTGTGTAATTGGGCAAGAAAGGCTATCCTTCACTCCCCACGTACATCAATGAGCCTTGGGTGCCCATGACCCTGATGCGGTTCACCGGTTGGGAGTCTTTGTACCAATATTGGTATGTATTAACTACTGCATACTGGGAACATCCCACAAGACTTGCCATTTTGGAGATGATCTGATCCTGTGGTCTATCCATCACCATTTGCCCCTTGTCAAAGTCACTCAGATCTTTTTGCTTTTCCATTTTTAATGCTTCCAATGCATGAAATTCAAGAACTGACTGTTTAGTTGCTGCCTAATATATCCCACCCCATGACAGGTGCCACTGTAACGATATAATCAATGTTATTCACTTCACCTGTCGTTGATTTTAATGTTTACCGTGGCTGATCATTGTATATGTGTGTTGTGGATTTATAATAATGATTTTTTAGTTTGATAGTCTCATTTCGCATACTTGTTATCCTTGTTTGTAAATTGTTAATATGTGCCAATTCAGGTGATGCTTCCCATTTTCTCTCTGAACAGCAGTATTATAAATACTTCAATTTCTGGAATTTCAAACCATGTTCTATGCTATGATGGTTGATTCAAGTTAGAGTTACTCACCTTTATGTTTTTTTCCTTAATGGTTCTGCTATTAAAAGAAGAGGGAAGTTTGGTTTTTTTTGTTTTGAGTTTATTCGGTTTTGATAAAGTGCAGATTGCGTGTTTGCAGGGAGCATATTTAACCACTTTATGTTGGAGATTTTACAGAAGTTTGCCATAAAAGTATAATTTTATTTAATCGAACAGGCAGTGGTGAAATTTCCTTAGTTGGTGGCAGCTTCATTTACAGCGTCTATTGGTTTTCCATCCTGTTCAGTAAATATCTCCTAGATGCATCGAACTCTTGTATCGATCAAGAATAAAATTATTAATAATTAGTGATGGATAAAACCAATACAGATTCACAATCTGGTAGCATCCAATAGGCAGCAACGCATATCATCAGTCAGCAGGGAACAGGGAGCAGTATAACCATTGGAGTGGTGCTAATGTCCTAGATATAGTAGACATCTAGCTAGTGACCAGTTAGTATATCTTGGTAGAAGCTGTTCAATGGCTAATGCCAACCTTCCACCTTCATTTATCTACATTGAGCCATGTTTAATAAAAAAAAATATAAAAACATCTTTATATTGCTTATTGTATAATAAATCCTCTGGTAATCTTACCCATTCGTTTTATTGTGCTAATAGAATCAATGGAAAAATTATTAGAAAAAAATACAAAAAAGGAAAAAAAGTGGCAGAAAGATGGGTTATTTTGGTGCGTTACAGAAAAAGCAAGACAAAAATAACACAAAGCTGGTAGTGAATCCAATACTTTTTATACATAACCCCCATCCCCAGAGCCTGCCCTATAGAACAGACTATTAGACCTATCTGAGGAGTGGAGCCAAGTAATATGATGACAGTTTATCACAACACTCACCAAATTGTACAGAATTGCACGGAAACAGTTATTCGTTTTGGTTTGCCTAAAATTTGGTTACATATCTATTGCAAATTAAAAGCTAAATAAATAAACAAATAAAAAGTATTGACAGATTTTCAAATCCATCCCTTTAAAAGTTTATGATTGCAGCATTGTCATTGGCTGCAGCGGCACACGCGATTACTGAATGAACCGAATGACCGATTGATGAACGAACAGTGAGCCATTCAGTCATTCAGTATATATGCCAATTTTGTATTCTTTTTACGATTACATTACAGAAAACTGAAATGTTTGATAATTTTGCAGTTCATAAGAAGACCAAAAGGCATGTCTACCAAATTGTAGTTATTTGATCATTTTTATAAAATTGTTAGATTGGTCAAAACAAAGTCTTACGCAGGTCTCAAAATCCTGAAGTCTAATGAACGTTTTTCCACCTTTCCCCGATGTTTGATGACATTTTGATTATTCTCCTCCAGTGACTTCATTTGTGCTTCTTTGGAACTCAGAGAGTTGTCATATTCTTGTTACATTTCCTTTACTTGGACAACTTAATTAAACCTGACTTTTGGGAGACATTTTCCACATCCACAAGATGTCTCAGGTGAAATCAAGAATTTGGATATGACAAGTAATATCTGACAATATTTCTGTTCCACAAAATGTTATTTTAATCTTTTATTTTAATCCTTCATATTTTTTCTTTTTTCCTTTGTTTCTCTATATCCTTTTGTTGGTATGCATTTTGATAAGAGATAAACATCAATCTGATGCTTTAATTCTCACGTTATTTTTGTCTTCATCTTGAGAAATAAATGAAGCAGCTATTGCCTTATTCTAAAAGCCAAAATGTAGATCCAGTATGTCGATACGCATAATCCCTTATTATCCCAATATTTACTTTTAATGTCAATATTTGTAATTAGGACAGTACACCTTGCAGGATTGTGGTGTATTCTTATTTACCATCAGGATTTGTATTTTAATACATTCAGTCAACACAGATAAAAGTCTGCTTCTATGATCTGCCTCTCAGTGATTTTTTATTTATTTTTTACCAATATTTCCGTTGTTTCTGTGTGTCTCACTTTTTCAAACTTAGCCTTGGGTTGCTGAACTTTGGTATTTTTAGTATCAGTCCTTGGTTAGGGGTCTGGGGTTCGTTCATACTTCTATACTTGTAACTCTGTATTCCAAACCTAAACTATATCTGATACAGAATACGCCAGACACATTGATTGACACAGTGATCAACATAATCGTCTGTATATATTTTCTTTCTCATGCAGATACAGGTGTAGGTCATAAGTGAGAATTCTCAATAGAAGTGAAATTCATCAAGATTATCAATATGCCTCTACCATGTCAACTATATTTCTGAATCCTTTTACCACTTTTGCGAAAACTCCTTTATTTGATTCACTGCTGGAAGCTGTCATTACCTTTGTGGGAGCTTTGGTTCGGGTATAATATTCTGCATGCTTTAGACTCCTGCATTGCTTATCCAGCCATCTAACCTCTGGATGTCTGCCCTCAATTGGAGCTTTTGACATGAAGTCTGTCTTTCTGATCAGTAGAGCTCTTATTAAATTGGGGTTATTATTATTTATAAAGCGCCAAATAAGTCAGTATCGCTGTACAAAAGGTGCACTACCAAACAAGTATATGCAACAAAACCAGTTGGACGCACAGGAACAGAGGGTGCTGAAGGCCCTGCTCAATGAGCTTACATTCTAGAGGCAGTGAGGTAAAGTGACACAGGAGATAAGGGTAAGATGTACAGGAAAAATAAGGGTGCTGAAGGCCCAGATTACATTCTAGAGGTAGTAAGGTAAAGTGACACAGGAGATAAAGGTAGGATGTACAGGAACAGAGAGTGCTGAAGGCCCAGATTACATTCTAGAGGAAGTGAGGTAAAGTGACACAGGAGATAAAGGTAGGGTGTACAGGAACAGAGAGTGCTGAAGGCCCTGCTCAATGAGCTTACATTTTAGAGGCAGTGAGGTAAAGTGACACAGGAGATAAGGATAGGATGTACAGGAACAGAGGGTGCTGAAGGCCCTGCTCAATGAGCTGACATTCTAGAGGTAGTGAGGTAAAGTGACACAGGCGATAAAGGTAGGATGTACACGAAAAAGTAGGTTGCTAGAATAGTTTACAGTGAGGGGTTAGTTTATTGGTAACACACATTTGCAGGAGAGGAAACAGGGTGAGTTACCAAGGTGCGGGGAGGGAAAGCTGTTTAATTGATATGCTTTCCAAAAGAAGTGAGTTTTCAATTATCTGTTGAAGGAACTGAGACTGTGAATTTGAGAATTTTGAGAATTTTTGAAAATTGAGCACACTAGATGGGCCAAACAGTCCTTATCTGCCATCACATTCTATATTTTTATGTTTCTATGAGTGAGAGTCTAACAGAGCAGGAATGGGAGTTCCACAGGAACGGTGCAGCCCTAGAGAAGTCTGGAAGGTGGGAATCAGAGGTGCGAATAATATGAACAGAGAATAGACGCAGATCTTCAGTAGAGTGAAGGGGCCTGCATTGACACTCTCGTATATCAGTCAGGATAGGCAGCACAACACAGCACAAACAGGAAATCTAATGGGCACTGTGGGGGCAGTCACCATCACTATGTGCGGGTCCCCAGATTCCTTTTGTATTTTGGTAATTCTGTGCCCATTATTGGTGCAGAGTATGTTGAATGTATTGCTTGTCTGTGCCTATCCCTCTCCCCCTTTTTCCTCTCCTATTGTTTCCCCAGCAGGGCTTTGTCCCAAGGACACTGCCAGAGCAGTTTAAACTAGCTGCCCTGTTCCTCCTCAATCTCCCATCAGTCCTTGCTATTGTCTTGCCGACACTTCCATGTACTATAGTGCTCTATTGTATGTAAAGGAGGCTGTTGGGGGCATAAAAATGTGAGCTATGTATATTTTGCTACTTCAGATAAAGGAATACCCC